AATATTGTAATTTTAAAAATATATAACTGATATTGTGTAACAGGAAGAAAAGGTCTAAAAGAGCAGGGGAATTGGGAGGGGTAGGGGAAGGGAAAAAAGGGAAAGGAAAAAGTATGAGAAGGGGAAAAAACATGGAAACAAGGTCTTTGCAAATAGGGAAGGGTGGAGGCTGTGAAGGGAGGGCAAGGGAAGGGGAAAAAAAATAAGAAGCAAGAGACTCATGTAATGGTACAAGATCCCAATGATGAATGTAACTGTATTTTATACCAAAAATGTACCAATAAATTTAATGGGGAAAAAAATGTGTAATAGGGAAGGAGGCATAAAAAGAATTATGCAGATGTGTTATGCACATGTACCTACTCCCCACGATGGATGTAATCATTATGTATTGCAAACATGTACTAATAAAAATAAAAACTAAAAACACATACACACACACACAAAAAAATAAAATTTAAAGTGGAACCATGAACAAGTACCTTCTCCTGCTATTTCCTGCCTCTCATTGAGCTGATTTTTAATTTTTAAAATTGTAAAATTATTTATTTGTTTTTGTGGCACTGGGGATTGAAGCCAGGGCTTTACCACTGAGCTACAACCCCAGACATTCTTTTTAAAAATAACTTTATCAGGCCGGGGATTTAGCTCAGTGGTTCTGGCGGCTGCCTCGAAAGTGCAAGCTCCTGAGTTTGATCCCTGGTACCAAAAAAAAAAAAAACTTTATTATCAAACACACACACATACAAAAAATTAAAACCATTCAAAGAAGAACAATGCAAGGGGAAAAAACTACAATAATATTCAAATACAGTAGAACTCAGCCAAAACAAAACTGAAAAGCACTTAAACATTTTTCCCTATAACTTAAAAAAGCATCTCAAGCACCAACAAGACACCAGAGGATGTGATTTGTTTCAGAAAGTTCCCCAAAACCAACATTGCTCAAATAATGATCTGGAAAAAAACTCCAGTTAGTTAGCAGACTCCGCATAAGCCAAACTTCTCCCTAATTTAAATTTCGATACAGTCATATGACACGCGATGGAAACACAATCCGAGAAATAACGTTATTAGGCCATTTCACCTTTCAGGTTCTCACACTAGAGAAACTATTCAGTATTTAAACATATGTGTCCTATTTTACTTAAGAGGATGGCCTCAACATGCATCCATTTAGCTATAAATGTCTCTCGTTTCTTGTTCTTTATGGCTGAGTAGTACTCCATTTTATTAAAAAACCACATCTTCTTTATTGTTTTGTTGTTTTTTTTTTTTGATACAGAGTCTTGCTAAATTACCTAGGCTGGGCCCAAACTTGTGATCCTCCCATCTCAGCCTGCCAATTTTAGTATATGTGCTGCTAAAATGAACATGTGTCTCAGCCTTCCAGAGTCCTTGGATTACAGTTGTACATTGCCAGGGGCTGATCAGACCCTCAGATGCCTGCGAGGGGGGGAAGATGGGGTATAAAGAGAAACAGAGACAATATTCAAGGCGCAAGGCGACTGGGAGAAGCCTGTCTCTAGTGGACAGACTCAACAATCTTTGGGTTGACCAACTTTTATTGGGAAGCCTAAAGCACAGGGGTAGGGATAGTGTACTTTTCATGGAACAATGACTGCCAGTAAATGTGTAACTAATGAGTAATAGGGAACAAGATTAATGGGGAACAGGTTCTTTCTTCTACCCTGATGCCTGTGTTTTTTGCATTGACCTCAGCAGAAATTACAGTGGACCCTGGAGTTTCAATGGGCCCGACATATGATCAACTTGGATTATGACTAGAATTTTAGCTTTAACTTAAGACCAAAATCTTGAGTAGTGACCCGAATGCTGGCTGCCTGTGCTTCCTGATGGTCTCAGATACAGATTTAACCCTTAAAGAGTTCTGGAAGGAACATTACAGCATCCTTTCCTGTATGGGGATAGATAAATCCCGGGCCCATGTCTCTCTAAGGACACTGAGGTCTGCCTGTTCACAGGAGAGAGACTTTGAGGCTGTGCAGAGGAGCCTGAGCCTTCATTTGACAACCTGAGTTACAACCAGCCCTCAGGAATGAATTGAGTTTCTAAGCCCAGGGGCCAATGTATCTTGCCTTAGGAGTGCTGTGCTTGTGAGTTTTCACACACAGCCAGGAAGCCTATGGTTTTTCCATTAACTTCTCAGTTCCTAAAGCAAGTTACATGAGCCCTGGACTGTGGGGCATAAATCGCACATCTGGCCCCCAATAATTCCCCCCATACCTGGTCCCCAACAATGCACCACCACACCTGTTTGACACCATTGTGTTTCTATTCCTGTGGCTGTCTCCTTCCAAGTATTTGTCTCTCTGTCTCTCCAGTGTCTCTCAGTCCCTGTCTGGATCCTGCTGGGGGTCCACAGAGCTAGCAAAGTCAGGTCCCTGCTTCTAGACTGGAGCTCCAGCTTCCTAACACGTACCCACTCTGTGCTGCCCTACAGGTGCCTGAGATGCTACCACTGCCAAAGAAGCGCTGGGAGTCCATGGCCAAGGGGCTGGTGCTGGGTGCTGTCTTCACCAGCTTCCTGCTGCTGCTCTACTCCTATGCTGTTCCCCCGCTGCATGCTGGCCTGGCCTCCATGTGAGTGGTGGGATTAGGCACCAAAAGGTGGGGTAGGGAAGGCCCCACAATCATCAAAGCACCTGCCCTGATGACTGAAGCTGCTTTATAGGCTGCCACTCTGTGCCGTGCACCATACTATGTCAGACAGAAATTCTACTACTGAGGGCCAAACTTGGGGTAGAACCCTGGGCCTCGGTGTGCCCATCTGTAAAGTGGGGATAAGAGAGCCTGCCTCATGGTATGACAGAATCCCATAAAACCTATGTCCCGGGTTTGGATTATTATCGTCTAAGGCTCTAGCTGGGCCACTCTAGTGGGGAGTGATTTGTCTAAGAGCACTCGGTTGTCAGGGGCCAGGATTCAAACTGGGGTCCGTGTGAGTGCAGCTCCAGCTCCTAACCATTAGGCTATCCCGCCTCCTCACGGGACCGCTTAGCACAGACTGGGCACATCCTGTAGCCTTAGTTGGGGATAGTAAGTTTAACCGGAGGAGACTGCCAACGACTGAACATTTTTGGCCTGCAGAATGCAATTTTAGGTGGTCCAAACCAGCACCGTTTTACAGTGAACAGATGACACAGAGGCCAGGAATGAGACAGGAGCCCGTGTCCCTCAGCTCACTTTGACCTCATGCCAACACCACAAACAGGGCCTGTTGTTTTCCCCCATTCCACATATGAGGAAGCTGAGGCCAGAGAGGCCAAATCACTGGCTCAGGCCTCCAGCCTGGACTCAGGCCCATCTGGTACCCTATGTCTAGATCGTGGGGCCCAGGGTGCCAGTCCTGAGGTCCCAGCAGCTCCTCACACTCTTCCCCCACCCTCCTCTGTGCTCAACAGGACCCCAGAGGACATAGCACCCTGCTCCCCGGCCCCTAGTGAGTCAGAGCTGGTGACCTCTGCCAACAGCTCGTCAGGAGGGTGCCAGCCCCGGCGAGACCTCGTGTTCATGAAGACGCACAAGACAGCCAGCAGCACTCTGCTCAACATCCTGTTTCGTTTCGGCCAGAAGCACAGGCTCAAGTTTGCCTTCCCCAGTGGCCGCAACGACTTCGACTACCCTGCCTACTTCGCGCGCAGCCTGGTGCAGGATTACCAGCCCGGAGCCTGCTTCAACATCATCTGCAACCACATGCGCTTCCACTACCACGAGGTGCGCGGCCTGGTGCCGCCCAACGCCACCTTCATCACCGTGCTCCGCGACCCTGCCCGACTCTTCGAGTCCTCCTTCCACTACTTCGGGTCCGTGGTGCCCCTCACGTGGAAGCTCTCGAGCCAGGACAAGCTGGCAGAGTTCTTGCAGGACCCGGATCGCTACTACGACCCCAATGGCTACAACGCCCACTACCTCCGCAACCTGCTCTTCTTTGACCTGGGCTACGACAGCAGCCTGGATCCCAGCAGCCCGCAGGTGGAAGAGCACATCCTGGAGGTGGAGCGCCGCTTCCACCTGGTGCTTCTCCAGGAGTACTTTGATGAGTCTCTGGTGCTGCTGAAGGACCTGCTGTGCTGGGAGCTGGAGGACGTGCTGTACTTCAAGCTCAACGCACGTCGCGACTCGCCCGTGCCGCGGCTCTCGGGGGAGCTATACCGCCGCGCCACGGCCTGGAACATGCTGGACGCGCGCCTCTACCGCCATTTCAACGCCAGTTTCTGGCACAAAGTGGAGGCCTACGGGCGGGAGCGCATGGCCCACGAGGTGGCCGCCCTGCGCAGTGCCAACGAGCGCATGCGCCGCATCTGCATAGATGGCGGACAGGCGGTGGACGCGGCCGCCATCCAGGACTCAGCCATGCAGCCCTGGCAGCCGCTGGGCACCAAGTCCATCCTGGGCTACAACCTCAAGAAGAGCATCGGCCGGCGGCACGAGCAGCTCTGCCGTCGCATGCTCACCCCCGAGATCCAGTACCTGATGGACCTGGGAGCCAACCTCTGGGTCACCAAGCTCTGGAAGCTCATTAGGGACTTTCTGCGGTGGTAACCTCCGTCCTGGCGCTGGCCTCCCCTGACCTCTCCAGGTGCCACCCTGGACCCCAGGGTGAGGTGGGGCTTTCATGGGGACATAGCTGGCCAGGATTGGGCCATGGCGCACACAGAGGGCCTAATCGAGATCAGTATTTGACTAATTACAGCATTTTTTAATTTAAACTCCCTGCCCGATGTTTCCTCCCTTGCAGGGGAGACCTCAAAAGTAAAGGAATTTGGTGTTGTCTTTTTCTTAATCAGCATCAGTGGTGGTGATTGGAGGGGCCCAAGGATGGGAGACCCCAAGTGGTACCTGTGGGAAGGTTCTGTGGGACAGAGCCCAAGGTGGGACAGGGACCCAGTGTGTGTGTTACATGTGGTTCAGGGGCTCCTGCAAACTTCCAGGATTCCCCCCCCCCCC